GACGCTCTTCCTCATACGCAACGAAGCTTAATACAAAATGTAAAAAGAAATCACTTTTGATTTGCGGTAAAGTTGCTTGACGAGCGAGCTGATTAAACATTGAACAGCTACTTTAGAACTTTGCCTCAAGATATTGCTAAGGAAGTATAATTGGTTTGACAACTTTCTTCAAATGGAATTCGACGTAACTTTTACTTGAATTATTAATTTTCCTTTGCTACTATTTATGTATCTACTGTTGGCAAGTGAAAAACTTTTCCGTGGGGAGTTTTATTCAGCTTGGTTGGATATTTTCCAAAATTCCAGAGGCAAACGCAATGCATTTTTCAATTTTAAATTGTTGCTGGACTTACTGCTACAACTATCTGCTAATTGTTTGTTCCATTTTCGCAAGCTGATATGATCCAGTGCTTTAAACGTGAGTTACGTGACGTTAGTATTACGAAAACCATTAGTAACAACTAACGCAATAAATAAATATCAAAGTTGTCATAAAACATATATTTTCCGGTGGAATAAGGTCAACATCATTTTTCAGTTCTTTCATTTAGCAGAGTGGCAGCATCTCGGCGAGTCGTAATGCCATCAGGGAGGACGTTGTGTCCTGCAATTGCCTTGATCGCCTTTAAATTCAGCGGGTTTCTCGGCAAAAATAGAAAATGACTGGAGAGGAAACCGCTAGCGTTTTGAGTCACATTTGGACCGTTGTTATGGCTAATAAAGTGGACGCCGTGACATTGCAGTTGCCTCAAAACGTGACTGAGGATAATGCTAGGGGAGAATTAGGACCGGGGCTCCACCATGCAAGCGACCGAATACAATTTCAGTTTTTACTGGAAAGTGGAAATTAAGTGAAAACTTTTCGCATTTGAATGCAATGGTGTGGACTCCGATTTGCCGCGAGGACAAGACATCTCAAAGGAGTCTTAACATGCTTTAACATGCATGATACGTGTGCTAATAAAAGCAAACTTATTTTCGAAGGAGCACTTGAGAGTTAGAGTCAATGCAACTAAACTGAGAAAAATTCAGTACTGAAAGGAAATGAGGGACTAAAGCTGACCTGGCAAATGATTGCAATATTTCGCTCATATTTGGTTTGATCTGCATATCCATTAATAGTTGAAAGAGGCAGCAGATCCGTAACGTTTTTACAACATGCATACCCTAATATTATTAGACAGTTGGTCTGATCTTGATTCAGAACTGAAGCCAAACATATTTTTTGCCAATGAACTTACGCTTGAAAAACAAGTTTTTCCATACTAATGAGGGACATTCACGTTACCAAACTGATGTTTTTTCTGTATTATCGCTTGGCTTCATCTTAGCTACGCGTAGATCTAAGGTGCAGATCAATGACAGGAAGAACATTCAGAAAATATATTTTTTTCCTTACAGCACTCGACAGTCTGAAACTACAGTATGGATCACGAATTTCCCATACATGATTAATTAAAACCATCCTGCGAAAGACATAAATTGCAGATCTTATTTTATTTGAAATCCTCCAACTTCGGTCTAAGCATCGAATCAAATTTCTTGGAAAATTTCCACCTGCAAACATTTTTAATGGGATTAAATTTTGCATAGGTATTACGAGCTGTCTCGTTACTTGTAGCCTGTAGTAGAACATGTGTAATCTTCTCGGAAACAGCAACGGATTCCAGAATTGATTCGGGAATTAATTATTGCGCGATCGTCTAGTGAGGTGTTCGTAATTATTTGGCGTTTAAGAACATGATATTGTAGTCGAGGAGATTATTGTGCAGCTAAAGTTGCGCTAGACGTAAAGTATGATAAATGAGACAGGAGGTACTATCTGAGCTTAAGTGCTGTTGGTTGCGCTAATGAGCAATAGACGAAGGAATGCTTGGTATTAGACGCAAAGTGCAGTAGAATAGGGAAAAACTCTCATATTGAATGCTAAACCTGTTTCGAATAAAAACTCCAGCTGCTACGAGTTGTTGAGCTAATTTGACTTCAACTTGTGAATGCAGAGATACTTTACAGGCGTATAAACAATTTATCAATCAGAAATCTGGTCTTCAAAGGCGTTCCAATAATGGACCAGCAGAATACTTATATATAATATTACTTACATATAAATGCGCAATTTTTCGAATTACGAAGACGGCCACGTGGGTCTTTTCAACGGCAAAAAAGGGTCGATGAGGAAACCTGGGTCTGGAACTAATTCGTATCACGGGGTGCTTTAAACTTTGTAAGTTTTTCGAATTTGTTTTCTATTCACGTAAAATCTCATTTGAAAAGTTTCAATTAAACTTTTTGTTCGGTGGGTAATTTACTTTTGCGTTTTTCTAGATAACAAAGTAATTCTTGAGTTGGGTCTTGAGGAGCAAGAAAATAACATGTCCACCAAGAGGGTTGTTGCTTATTTACCGAATAGTTTCATTTCATTAAATATTTCATCAAAAGCATTAAGGCTGTCGCTAAACATTTTTGATTAATTAATAATATTCTATCAGCAAGATTCCAATATTCTTGACGGTTCTGAACTCTTGTAAATTAACTGAAGTCATTTAGGAAAGTTCAGGTTTTATTACATTTGAAAATTTCAGATTTACCGTCTCTTTTTACTAATTAACTATTTTCAAGCAGTTATTATTTATATCACTAATCACCGAAATTGGGGTCTTGCTAGTTTTGCAGCCCATTAGAGTTTTCCTTGGATCAATTTGCTTAACACAAAGTGTGTATTTAATTCATAGAATTTTACTGTGAAAAGCAAGTGTATTTTTCTGCATGTCTTACTACAGCTTTGCTATTAAGTAAGAACATTTTTAATAATTGGCATATTTCATGGCTGATTAAAATAAGTTATGGCAGATAATCCATTTATTCGCTAAGCCCACCGAAGGATTTTCATGCTCCATTAACCCATAATCCGTCCGCGGAATTGCAAACATGTATGCGTTATTTATACTTGGCTTTGTGCTTGTTAAACATTCTCCACAAGCACCATTCCGAAAAATACTCCGGCATTCATGGCGGCGTTTAAATAAGTAATTCGCTCAAAATAAAAAAAACTAATATGTGCGCTGGTTTCAGCAACTGTCATCCATTTAAATTACACTGTAAAATTCTGAACAACCCTCGTTAAAAACGGTGTACGCCGTATTACGTTATAAAAAAATACAGTCAAAACGGAACAATGCAAATGGAAACAGTTTTATTTTGTCGTGCCGCATTATATTTTTGTTCATATTATAGCGTCGATCGATTGCGCAAATCACTCTGATATATTTTATGTATTTAAGTTAGTAAATTTAAAAAATAATATGGGAGGCACGTTGCGTCAATTGCAGGTTTTCAGACTGATCAACAATACTGTACCGGATTATTTTCATTCAACTTTTTGTTATTAATGGTTGTAAATTATTCAACATTCGCACACTGTATAGATCAGATAAACAATAGAATTTGACGGGTACTATTTGCAGGCTATTGTCGATTTGCAAAATGCAGATATTTTTATGGTTTATTGATTAATTAATCCAATTTGATGATTTATACAACAAATAAACACTGAAGCATAAAAAATTCAAGAATCGATTCAGCTACGATTTTATGGAGAACATGCAAATATCCAATTAGAATTCTTATGGAAAGCTGGAAAAAGTGAAAGGCAAAATCGTCAAGCGTTGCACTGTCAATTAAAATTAAAAAAAATCGATTGGAAGCTACCTAATATGGCAGAAACGAGAAGAAAAATAACCTAAATGCCAAGGTGAATAATTTTCAAGCAGAATACGAGGCATTTTTTTATCCTATCAAGTAATAAAAATGATTTTTTCTCCATGTTTGTAATATGCTTATTAATTTTTTACAAATTAATTAATATTTCGTTTCTCATTTGGTTCATAGATATAGAGTTTTTTGTGGTAGGAGTGCGAAAACCCATATATAAAATTGCTTTGAAAAAGCCCAATGTTTCCACGGTTTTACTTCTGCATTTGAAAACGTGAAGGCAAAATGTAAGCATGTGTATAACTATTACGTGCTACTGAATGCTTTTACGAAGTTTGAATGATTCTTTGAGTAACTGGACAAAATAAAGTGAAATAAAATTGTCATGAATATCCTATGAATATCCTATAAAACACATGAATATCCTATAAAACAAGCATTTTGAATATTAATGTCATATTAAATTTTTACTTTTACATCCCAATAGTTGTGTCTTTAAATTAATACATGTTTTTGCCATTTTGTGTAGGTAATTCCGTTATATGAAATCACGTAAGTTAAGATATCGTAAAAATCAATTCTGAACCTTATGGTAATATATCTGGAAAACTCTAAACTTTATGGGTTTATTAGACAAAACGGTATCGTGTTTAGAGAACATTTTATGCGTGATAGACTTTAAGTCCTCTAAAACACGTCATTTATGAATTGAGGTGCTCAATATAAATATACTAAATAAATAAAAAATCTATATATGCAAACAAGCAAAGTATTTTATGCTCCATTTGGGTACTTTCATTCTTGGAAACTCAGTGGTTAACAATCTGTTTTGTGGACTTTTTGCAGACATTTTGAAAGATCAACCGACTGCTAACGTTCTGATAAAAAAAACCTGAAAATTGCTGCAGCCACAAGATTATTACTTTTAGGTAAAGTAGTTTATGGATAGGAATGTCTATGAATTACTTTTAAATTACTTTGAAATTAAGACTGAATGTCTTTTTCATATTTTCTTTACTCTTTTTTTTACAGAACGCGCTCAGGCTTGGTTTATAATCTCAGGACGCGGTTTGTATTTCAAAAATCCGGCCAGGCCAAAATATTTATATTTTCAAAATTGTTAAAATTGTTCAGGTAGAGATTGATTAGCTAATGGCAAATTTGGTATGGCAATGGCAATTAAGTTCTCTATGAGTTTCACTTTAGAAACGAACGCCTGCAGTGACTGGCAAGCTTTTTAATGTTGGATGAAAATATAGTGGATTAAGTGGTAAAAAATAAACACTTACAAAATACAGTTAGTCTGGCGTTTGCCCTGATCGCCTTGTTCAATTTGGAGGGTCCAACTTGGCACTGATATTCAGCGTCGTCCTCAAGGGATGCGTTGCTTATCCGCAAGTTGTAGACCCCGTTTCTACGTTCGCCAATAACCGAGTATCTGGGGTATCCTGGGATGACCGACGAAAAACCTGCAAAAGATTTTAAATCTGTTTGAAACCCTTGGGCATTACGACACTCGCATGAATTATGAAGGGTGTTTTAGGTAAATTTGCACTGGAGTATTCGGGTTTGGAGGCGGTATGCTTTTAATCTGCAGGGAAATCATTGGAAACAAAACACGAGTAAATGTTGAAAGCAATTTGGAAGACACTATCTAAAGATCGAGGTTTGCTTACGCAGACTGTTTCAGATAAATGGCCCCCATTGGCAGCTTTCATCATTTACTTGATAATGCGAGAATCGCATCTTTTTCTTTCTTTGAATTTGAACCGTATTTTTCTTTATTTCTTATGGAAGAACCAATCGGCGTTTTCAGTGTAATTTAAAAATTAAGATCCATTTTTCTAAATGACATACGATATTTTCGTAAAACAAACCAGACCTTAGATCCAGAGGGAGTTATGCAACCAAGACAGTAAGAAAATAAAATGAAAAATCCCCCAAAAACTATACTTCAATAATAATATTCAAAAACGCTCAGTCAAAATAGAGGACTGTTTTCTAATTTAAATGAAACCGTGCGATTAATAATAGTTTTATTGTATACGGGAGCACCGTTTTGAGCCTGATTTGAAATACATATTTTAACCTTAAGGTAATTCGCTCGATTGAGCCATTATTCAATTTTCTTGTCATAATACGATAAATCGTTTTCATGCTCGGAATTTATTACTTTGTTTCAGTGGCAAAGTTTAATAACGTTATTTTGCATATCGAGTATTTTAACATTTGTCTAAATAGAATTCGATTTAAGAAAGTATATAATTAGGATCCTTTAGAGCTCTGACAAGAAAACGAGGAAAATGTCATACAGTAATTTGAGCAAATGTAAAACACTATATAAATGAAGATGACTGAAAAAACTAGTAAATTTTCAATGATATTTCCTCCTTACAGTTCAACATACGTAGGTATTATTGCGAGTTATAAAATTGGAGTTTCTATTAAAACACCTACTATTTTTATCGAAGCTTTTCCAGCACACTTAGTGTAAAATTCAGAAAATCACCCTTTTGCAGCAACATAAAAACGTTCATTTCACCTTCCCATTGTCAGTTCCAAACAACTTTAATCTTAATGAGTTTAATAGAGCAACTATTTAATGCATATAACAATGGCAATATATCTGTAACATTATTGTCAAACATTCGCCAGTGCATTCTGTCCATAATCTTTTCGAAACCATTATGCTGAAATTCGCTGTCAGAATGGGGAAGAAAGAAATCAGAGGACAAAAGAGTTTTCCACGAGGCTTCAGGAAGGAACATTTGTGCGTTCAGTTTAAAATGGGACATCTAAATGGTGAGGAATGGGAAGGTAATTTCGCCTGAGTAATAGTTGTAATTTTGATGTCTCATAAAATCCATTTGTTTTTCGGCTGAAACAATGTATGTCAACCTAGCGGAGTGTGTAGATTAAGTTCATGGTGCCGACATTTGAAAAATTGGAAATCCGTTTTCTGAAAACTATGGATAGCATCTTTTTTTATAGGTTTTGTATTAGTACAACTTGCAATGACGAATGAGGAAAGCACAACAACAATATCAGAAAACTTGTTTAGTCCATTATTTTCAGTGCCCATATGAGCGCATTTCTATTCTAATCCTTGCAACATAATTTAGAAGAAACTTCAATTACTGTAAAATCCATATTGTCAGACTTTAACGGAGACGGTGTTGGATGTCTTCTTCTATTCTATCCCAGTAGTCTAGTCCGTGTTTTTGTGTGTGCATCACATCTGCGATGTAAAATTTAAAATACCACATTCAAAACTCCGCCGTTTGACTAAGTCGCAAAGTATCGGGATTTAGCGATGTATGTTAAACTGGCCATCCACAATGGGATTAATGACTTTTTTGCGCCAGCGTGGATTATCTCTTAATCCCAGCATGTTGCATTTTGTTCCTTTAAAACGGTTACTCAGAATTTTTTACCCATTTGGATTTACTTAAATCTGTTTGTGWTTTTTTTCTACATTAATTTCAATATTGCAATTAGAAATGTTAATTAGGCAAAACATAATTAATAATTAAAATCAAAGGAAACGAACTGATTGCTCCAAAATGAGTTAGGTTTAGATTTTTTAGAACGAGATTTCCATGGGTCGTGGGAAATGGGAGCTAAAGAGCTAACAGTTGCACGACGTCCATTAAGGGCAGTAATCATTAGGCGACTAATAAAGGAGCTTTTAGTGGATTACCTAAAGTGAATAGATGCTCCTGGCTCATTGCACTTGACCCTTTAAGATTGACCATTTCGTACCCTAAGTCTTATTGATACCTCTGAACCGTAATTACTTAAGTGTTTTCGAATTGGAAATCACTAAATATGGCACCCGACCCAACACCCAAAACATTTATCCAGACCCTCGTCATTATATGATCTGGAACCGAAATACCACGTTACTATCTCAATAATCTCCATAATTTTTCCGACGATTTTTATTTCTAAATGTGTTTAAGAATTTTCCAAAAATATACATTTTGAAAAAAAAGTGGTACCTGACTTTCTTTTGATGTCATTGATTTGTTGCTGAATGTTTATTTTTACATTCATTGAAATCATAGCTGTGTTTTTAGTTTCATCTTAGTTCTTCTGAAGATAGTTCTTCTCCGATATAAATTTAGTATCATTTTACTATTTAGAAATTAGCACTCAATGCTTACCAAGTGCAAAGCCATCCTTCGTCCACTGTACAGCCCCAGCCAGCATGGCAACTTCGCATTCCAACATAGCTTCTCCTCCTTCTTGCACTTTCGTATCATGCGGCTGCACTCGGAAGTACTGCTGACCAGCCGATACCACCAGCAAAAGGCTGAGAAAGTGTACTGGAAAAATGCAAATAAATTAATTTAGGTATTAAGCGTTTGAGCAAAGGCGATATATTTTCGCCAAGAAAAAAACATTCCATTTATGCTATGACTTAAGTACATTTGAAAAAAAAGACAGTTTAGCTGTTTTGTCTCCTGATCTTTGTGAAGGAAAAAAACAACCCTACCGAAATGACCTAAACTAATTTAAGTTGAAAAATTTGCCAACTGAGCAGAGGATAATAAACCACGGAAAATTGCAAGTGAGGCTTACGAATTAGAACAAGATGGCATAGATTTTGTGATTATAAGTTTGGATAGTGAGGTGGAATAGGAGAATAAATTGAAAGAAGAACTTGTCAGTCTGGCGATAATTTTCTTAAACAGATGAAAAGGAGAATGCAAAAAAGGCAAAATTGAGTTAAATACTAGTAAATATGAACAAATATAAGCACGCAGCCTATCGATCTGAATAATTTGGCAGAATGAGGAAAGTCTCTCTTAAAGCAAACATACGCTTTTGAAGATGAACTACAGTAAATTTACTTTATTCAATTCCTGTATTCAGAAAAAAATGAGCGAGGCCATTGTTTGAAATTGGAGAATTTATTCCTGACGCATCGCAAGCACAAGTGACTTGCATCTTCAGCGGTGATTTCTCCGTTGAGCCCATCACCTCTGAGGCTGCCCGGAAAAAATATTTTTCCACGACGGCCTGAAAGCCCGAAACTCACCACTTTCATTAAACAATTTCCATTTAATTATACATTAACGCACCTCGAGCGAATGATATACTTCATATCCTTTAAGTAATTGTCTATACATTTCGGTTTTGGGATGCTTTCCAGAGCAGTAATATAAGGGCTTTTTAATTATGCAGACTAATTAATTTTACTGTGACAAATATTTAGCAGAAATTCAATCGAAAAATGAATCACCGCAGCTGTTGAAATAACGACAAGAACACAATTAATTGAAAACAAATTTCGTTTTGATAACGTAGCAAAATGCTGCGTGGGTTATAGCATATGTTCCATTCTACTCACGCGAACTAGAAGTTCGAAATTAATTTTTTCTCACATAGACAAAGAAGTGATTAAACAGCTCTGGTATGGAAAAGGCTGTTGCAATGCTTAATTGGATACCCTTTATATGGTATTTTTTGTTCATTAGAGCAACAACTACCGTAATAGAATTAATCGTGATTGTAAGTCCACCATCATAAATAAAGGTCTGTCGAAAATACTGCATTGCGTATATGCTCTAATGGGAATTAAAATTATCTTGTTGCGAAAGTAAAAGGAACTAGAGTCCATATATTATTTGTCCAGATAATTGGAATGACTCACACGTGAACTAGTTCTGCGGATTTAACAGATTTAATGAGGATAATATTAGTAATGTGTGTAATGGCGATACTATTTAGATAGCGTTAGCGTTTTTTTTAAATACATTTAGCTGCAGCATTTAAAATCGTGCATTAGCGGACTGAAACACACATTTCTTTTCCAAAGTCTGCATTTTTCGCTTTTTTACTGCGAACAGCAAAACACAATTCTCGGTGTACGTGGCCGCGCCGCAAATACAAATATGGCAATAAAACGCTAAAAAGTAAAAACGGGTGAAATTTAATTAGCACTCTGAAAAAACACATTACAGTCGTATTTCCTAAAACCCTTGTTGTTCGCTCCTCTGGTGAGAAGAGCCCCCTTTATGTTATCTGTTACCGTTGAGATAAATTGCTTTTTTTCTACGTATTTTATTGTGTTTGTTTATATGATGCATTATTACACACATATGTTTATTTTTTTCATTTCACGAGAGCGTGTTTTATTTTATTTTTTTCTGCGCGAGGTAAATCTTGTAAAGGCGCCAGTCTGGAAGCTGAAGGATAAGACTTCCCGAGTTTTATGCATGTTATAAAAAATAAATAAAAACCACTGTTTTCGATTGCTTCATAAATATCTGAAAAGAGCAAAGAGAAACAGCTAATGTGAGACTGATAGCAATGAAGCAATTTTCATATTTAAGCAGTTTGGACGTTATATAAAATTGTGCTTGTGTTTTGAGAATTAAATAGCTCATAGTTCATAAAGACACGTTTATTTTTTAGAATTTTATGTAAATGTGCATGTTTGTTGATTGAACACGTTTACTTCTTGGATTCAGCTTAAACACTTTGTTTAGGATTTTTCCACATCAAACCCGAGGAAAATATCTGGAGAATTTCAGTAAATAAATGGCACATATTAGTGTGGGAATGAGCAAATGTATTTCTGCTTGTGAAAAAAATCATTATATGACAAACACCTTTTAGTTCCCAGGAAACAAGTAGAGTGATTTAATTTTCCGTAGGAATGCTTTAATCTGTAATTATACAATTCAATAATAGGTTATGAATAACTTTTACTTTGCTTTGAAATTTCAATATCTGGTTAGACGAGATTCCGGGCAAAAGGTGATTTTCTGAACCTCAGAAGATACTTCATATGTAGTTGAACATGATTATGTAAGCCTTAAAATATTTACTAAAAGTATATAAATCATTTATATGTATAAATAAAAAACCAGGTCGCTTCTAAATCCAATTAGGAAGAGCTAATCTAAGCGTCAAGCTAAACGACGCGAAATTTAATTATAGTTTCCTTCAGCAAATTTTAGTTTTTCAGTTGCTGTTTATAACGGTTTTCAATTTTGGGCTGATTTCACTGATTCGTGATTTGTCGCTAAGATTTAATTGCACGGCAACATTAAATATTCTTGTCGATATTCAATCAAATAGTGTGCTTTGGAATTAATTAAAACTAAAAATTACTTACTAATATGTGCTATATATATTGACAGATACAAACATTTATAACTGTTACTTAAGTATTACAAAATAGCATTGCAAATGTTCATGATTGTTCCTGATAGATCGATAGCTTCTTAAAGAAGTAATTTGGCAGAAATCAACTTCTAACTAAATATATATAACGATATATAAACCACAGATTTGTAACATGTTTTCAATTTAATCTGATTTTCATTTTTCTTCAATTGCTTTTTAGTATAAATCCTAGAAGGAAAGCAAGCCAAATTTGATAACAAGCCTTCTAGGTACACATAATAGAGAAAAAACACGCCAGAGAATATTCTATATTATCCCGAAATAAATAAATATCGTAGTTGTTCCATGGGAAACAAAGAAGGGTAACTGGGAAATATTTATATGATAAAAATATTTTTTGCGAAATTAAATTTGACCGGTTTTCACCTTTTTCGCATTTGATCTCGACTGTTGGATGCAATATTCTTACGTCACATTTCACTGTCATTAATTTTTAATAGCGGTAGCTATTGAAACAAACGTTAAATAAACTGAAAGTAAAAATGCTTTAGAATGAGAACAACTGAAGAAAAATTCCGAAGAAAAAAATTGAATACATGTGATAATTGACGCAATTTTCATCTATTATATTAATAGTGCGGTTTTAATTTATGGGGTATAATGTATCTGGAAATGGAAATAAATTTCTTGCAAACACGCATAACTATAATTATAACATTTTTCCCCGTATCTAGCAGGTATTTGTTAATAACTGTACTTAATAACAATTACAGTATTAACCGAATGCCATTTATTTAAATGCCCTTATATATAATATCATGTAGGTAATTTGTTTCAACTGGTTGCAAAAAATATAAATTGTCCGCATTCGATTTGGAAATTTGGTGAATTGGGGCAATAAATAAAAGCATACAAACCGTAAATTATTCCACTTACTATTATACATTTTCCGGTTATCAATTAGGTATTTTATTTTACTTTTAATGTATTCATGAACTGCCACAAATTTACCTCTGTTATAATTCAAGTGTGATTGATATAAACGCATTATTTATTTCATGGCCCTAATTGTTTTCAAACCCTGCTGTGTTCTCAAACCAAGTGGAAAAATCTGTCGCATTTTGCAGAATATGAACGAATTTACCTCCTAAATTCCCAACGGTTTTTTTACGGTTTATGGCTGCGACAGCTTTCTGCAGGTTTCACGTAAACTTGACTATGTGTCGCCTTCCGGTATAGCGCCCCTTTGACTCAACATCCCTTTTCCTTTCAGAAAGCTTACCCGGCATGCTAATTATTAAATTAACGGAAACTCGCTGTATATATTATGCTATCTCGTTTATTTTCTGGCATCGTTTCCTTTGGCCGTTGGAAATTGGGTCCTGATTTTGTCATGTGGCTGATTTAGGTACCAAATAAAACCTCGTTCGACCCTAGCCTTTGAATTCGCTTTTTGCATGCGGTTACATTAAATAGGAACATCTAATTAAATTCACCCTTTTTGCGATCTGAATGTACGATTGCAAATCAACATCGCGTACGTATTGGGTGCAATTCCAAAACAAACTAATTAGATCCAAATAATTGGGAATTTAACACCCACAGAGCAAAGCAATAATACTGGATTTCATTTGTGGTTTAATCCCGATTAGTAAATTGAATCGTTTCTAGATTTAATCGCTAGAGAATCAGATTTAAAATAGGAAATAATGTTAGCCAAACCAACTTGTATGTATGCTATCAAATCATCAGTTTCAATTTTTGGGCGCCGTAATGATTTTGCATAATTAGTTGGCCGTAATGGCTGCAAACCGGTAACATGGAAATAAGGTTAATTAAATACAGATCGGCAAATGGGGGTTTACAGCCGATGGTGGCGACAGTAATTATAGTCGAGTTATAAGCGTTTCGAACTTCAGATATTTGAGCTACTTGATAACCGACCAAACAGTTTTTTTTATTAACTCCAAACAAGACAGCAAACTAACTAACCGACTCAAATTTGCATAAAAACATGCAAGTAATCAACATGCCCAGGAGAATCTTGAGTTATAGACCAGTGAGGTCCGAACTGTTTTATAAAGATAATAGGACTATTGTTTAAGAAGCAATTTCTTAAATTTGAGCAGAAAACGCGACATAAAAAACATTAGGACGCATATTTCCAAATAATTGTTAAGTGTTAGGA